ATGTGGGTGGGTGACAGTTGTGACAACGCATAGGATTGGCCTGGTGGTGACGATGGGGGTGGGGTGGGATGAGTGGGTGGTACTTATGGCAATGACGGTGGTGGCGGCAATGAAGGTTGGTTATGATGGGTGGTGGGAGTGGGGATGGGGGTGGTGGAATGATAATACTAATTGGCGGTGGTGGCACAAATGTTGGCAGCGGGAGTGGTGGGGGTGGCAGGTGTTGGTTAAATTGGATGTAAAATATTTTTGTCTTTAAAACCAAATTATAAGATATGTTACATTAGCGACGAAATAAAATTCAAATTATTCACTTATGCGTAGGAATGATCAAATCCCTCAACCGTGTAACTAGGTGGAATCCAACCAATTCAATCCGCGAACCAAACATCATGGAATTTGGTCAAAGGAATTTGTCATTCCAATTTCATCAAATTCCACAAATCAAACAGCCCCTTAGAACGGCTCTTGCTTCTAACAGTTTAGTTCAAACACAATTCACTTCATTTTTTACTGCACTGATAGGAGCAAATGGTTATATTACTATTTAGACTATGTTTGGCTCACAAGCTAATAAGCTAGTTAGCTGAAAAACTAGTTGTTAGCCAATAAGCTAGCTGATAAACTAGTCATGATTGGTAAAAAAAAAAACTAGCTGATTAGCTAGACGACAATATAAAATGACCTAAAACGAGAGGTTGAAAATAAATTGGAAAAATATTAGGGGCATAAATGGAAAAAAATCCCTTAGAGCTTATTGAAATGCTACTTGTAGTAGTGCTCCAAAAAGCTAGCTTATAAGCGAGCTTATGTCTAACCAAATGGGGTTCTTTCAATAAGTTCAAAAAACAACCTCATTTACAAAATGTGTGCGACTGCGTATAGTGATTTACGTCCTCCCAAAGCCAAGGAGCCCTGGGAGGGAGGAAGCGGTTGCTTACATTTTTAGCAACAAAAAGTACAATAATCAAGGCAGCTGCTAAACATCCAGCAGCAATTCTTGCTGCAAGAAGATTTGTCGATGCCAGTATCAAAACCATTCCCCAAAATGATGATCCTAGATCTGTCAAGCCACAAGAAAATACATAAGATTTTAAGTATGCATTGGCATGCATGCGATAACCAAATAAAGACTAACCAAGAAAGTTACTATGGGATGAAAATTGGTCATTCCCTAGGAAGGATAAGGAAATTTACATCCAGCTGGTAAGATAAACCAATATACACCACCACGTGTCTGAGTCATTCCACCTTCATCGGCATGAATCTGCATTCCTTCCACCTTTATTTTAAATGAAAAGTTAATTGAGTCCATGATAGACCAATTTGTATAAAAAATGGCTAAATGATAAGAGCAACCAAGGTTCAAGGCGCTTTGGCTTTGAGAGGGTTCCAGAGGGAACTTATTGTAGGAATGAATTCTTATATGAATTCTTATTATGTTATTTCAATATTGCATTGTACCTATTTAATGAATGAATTATAGAACATAAAGTTAATATAAATCATAATGTAACACCCAAGGCCCGAGTTTTCGTGTAGAACATAACAAAAATCAAGAGAGGGACTAATAGTGTGATCTCTTTAAAGATGCAAGTGCAGGGGAGGGTTGATTATTTTAAGGACCACTGTGACTTGCTTTTCAAATTGCTTAAACATTTTGAATCCAACATGGGTTAAGGATACCGCTTTGAGCGGCAGCAGTTGGTTGAGGAAGGATTTATGCTAAATTCGTGATCAAATGAGAGGAAAATATTGCCATTGTATTTCATGGGAAACCCCAGAAGAAATCAAGAAATCTATGAGAAAAAGAGAGAGAATTGAGGTACAAAAGGAGCTGGGAAGTGTTCAGAGTTTTTTGCAAGAGTTCCTTGTCAAACTGAAGTAAGTTCTATCACCAAACTTATGATTAGAGTAGAAATGGAGACCTTAAGGCCATTGAATTGTGAGAAACACCATTTATGGTGTTGTGTAATGAACAAGTAAAGGAAGGTTGAATTAGAGCTTGGTTTTGTGTTTTATACATATTCAAGTATGCCATCTGTTAGTAATTCGTGTTGTAGGAATCCCACATCGGCTAGACTTGGACCATTTCTCTTATATATATATGTTGGAATTGAAAACGTTCCCTTTCTCCTCAAGGGATCTTTTGGAGATTAATCTAGCGGTTCCACATCAGAGCCAAGGTCTGCCACTCTAGGGACCCGACACTCTAGCTAAACCCCTCTCAACACCCTCGGAAAATATATGTCCATCTAGCCTCCATTGGAGGGGACGTTTTGGAGTCCCACATCGGCTAGACTTGGACCATTTCTCCTGTATATATGTTGGAACCTTCCCTTTCTCCTCAAGGGCAATTTTGGAGATTAATCTAGGGGTTCCACATATTCTCACATGTGTTATTAGCGTTCTTTTTTGGATTAGAATCATGTGATATGGGTTAGACTCGTGATTTGGACCAAAATGGTGATCAAAGCAGAAAAGTAGAGTAGGCATTGTGTTTGGCACAACCATTGCAGATTTTGCATTGTGGATTGGCACGAGCATGTCATTTGCAAAGTTGGACTTTTGACCATATAAAGTATATGTTAGAGTGCAAGTAGGAATAAACCAACCTACACATATTTGAAGTGAGTTTCATGTAATTTCCCGAACTAGGGTAACGCACGTGACGTTTTCAATATTTGCAAGGTTATATGAGCATGCTATTTGTTTAAAGTACACAGCTACATATTTTTAAAGCTTATGTACATGTCATACATGTTCAATATTTTATGAAAAGATATAATGTATGAAAACCTTGTGGCTAGATGTATAGGGTCATGTATCGTGATCCCGATAGTGACATCGCGGAGCACTACAAAGATGCAGTGAGCCAATACATGTATCACGAGGGTACCTCTGTACTTGGTTGGTACAAATATGGTCGGAACATGTATCACGAGGATACCTCTGCACTAACTGAGACAAGGTTAACAAGATGCAAGTATGTGACCCCCACCATGCCGGTTCAGATTCAAGATCTCAAATGTTCATGTGCATGTTGCATTCATGCAAAGTTTAGTACGATATATGCATAACTTTTTACCAAGTTCATGTTCACACTTTGCATGTTCAGATTCTTGCGTGATTCTATGTATATCGTTCAAATTACATGCTTTACAAAAGTATGTTTGTATCTCGGACACATCATGTTCCACAACGTTATTTTTGCTAACTGCTTACCATGAAACCATGAACTCACTAAATGTAAAGCTGACTAGTAGTATGTATCTCAAAGTCAATCAAGAATTAGTGCAGCAAGGGCAAGGATAAGATCTAGTACGGTGTTCTAAGCAATATTAGGATTTATGATTTATGATATCTATGTTGAGTTCGAACTACATCAATTAAGATACAATTATGTATTTTGGTTACACTTGGTTTAAGTCATGTAAGTACATTGAAGATTAAAATCTTATGATGCAATGTGTTATAAATGTTATGATCGCTATTCAATATTTAAGTTATGATACGCCGTTACAACCCAAAAGGGAAAAGCAGGGTGTGACACATAACCGTAGGTCAGCAAGGTGTGACACATAACCATAGGTTAATACACCTGGGCCTATCTATACCCGTACTTTTTCCTCTAAAAGCGTATTTTATCTCGCACAGAATATTCTATTTACATGGCAAACCACAAAGCCACATAGAAATTTCTTACATGGCCACATGTAAGTTTGCAAGCAACGGCATGACTGGCTTCATGAAGAAATACAGTAACAAGCTTGAACGGTAAAAGCACTACTGTCCTCCACAGCTACAAAAGGAAATCAAAAGGTTGGCATATGAAAATAACAGAATTAATAACATATGATATGACAAAATGACGATATAACAGGAACAGTATGTGATTTCTAGAACATATTTTGCCCACTGAACATCTAAAACACATCTGCATAAAGGGAAAATGCATCAACATGTAATGACAACATTTGCACTCATTCCTATTTAGTATAACCATGTTATTTCTTCGCAATTAAACTAACAAGCATTCAATTCTTCCTATTTTGTACTGATAAACAAGTTTTCAGCCTATGTGGCATCAGTTGATTTTAATGTGGAATGTTTTTATGTAATCAAAGAATTACATTATAACCTCACAACCCCAACCTCCACATATCAATAGTTGATTTTAATGTTGAATGTTTTCGTGTAATCAAGAATTACATTATAACTTCACAACTTGACCTCCACGTCATCAATAGTTACAAGATCTATCTGTTACCTATGAAATTGGTTATGAAATAGAAATCCACTCATTTTAAGATCAAAGATCCCTCTTCAGACTCCCAATCTCAAGTTGAAAACTCTTGTTTGAAGAAAAGAAACACTGATTGTTCATTAGACTACCCTACAAATCTGTCAAACTCGCTTATTATTCAAAATTCCAAGTACCTTCAGATTCTTACAATAATTTAAAGTTCAAACTAAAATAGTGCAATGAGATCAGAATACCAAGTTTCCAAATCAGTCAAAACTAACATGCATCAACTATTACCCAAAAATGGCGAATGCCCATCTGGCATTTACCAAAAAACCTCGCCCAAATGATCAAATAAAACTAAACATAGTTTTACGATAATGTAAGAGACAGTAAAACAAACCGCAAGAATGACGATAACGCAGAAAGCGAGAGTGATGAGAAACACCAATTGATCATGGTTACAGCAATTCTTGAGCTCCCAATTGGCGGTCATTTCGTTTGCTGATTTACAAAGAAGAAAGAGAGTGAGAGAGGTGGAATGACAATAAACAAAAATATGGGTTGGGATCTAGAGAGAGATGGGCATAATCCATGGGGGTGATTCAAGGGAGGTGTTCCATGAATATTTTATACGAATTTCTTGAGAGAGAGAGAGAAGGGGGGTGTTGGTGACCATGGAGTGTGAGGGGGACTTGGGGAAGAACAATTCATTTGATTTTTGATTATTGATTGACTAAAGTCAAACCATGACGTCACATAATTTATTTATTTTGTATGGGTCGAATCAATCCACCTTATCATTGGACATAATAATTAATATAATATTAAATATTTAAATCTATTATGATGACCATGTATTTTTTATAATTATTTCATGGAATTTGGTCAATTAACCAATAAAATACAATCTTTTCACGTATTTTCGTCCATTAAGTATTAAATATTAACCATTCACTTATATCTGTTTTTATTTTTATAACAGATTTGGTCTCTCCGTTTAATCAATAAAAATTTGGTTATAGTGACCAAGATAAATAAATCCACGTCAAGTAGATATTCCGCTCAATCAAAATTATTTTGTCAATATGATGGAAATATAAGATCGTTGAAACAACAATGCAACTAAAAATCAAAAAGTCGTTATTTCATGGAAGTCGGGTTTTGGAAGCTTATATTTTGATATGAAATAGTTAAAGTAATTATGTTACCGTAACAAACCCCCTAAAAAGAGCGGGGAGACCTTTGACCTGGGCTGGGGAGGGATTGGGGTCGCTTTGCTTTAGAACTTTAGTTTGTAACAAGGTTCGACGAAGACCTCCGGCTGGATTTGAAATGGATCAGGTAGGGCATCCATTTACGGCGTGGGTGGGATTAGCAGTGTAGCATGATACATACAAACCTTATTGGACAGTTTATCAACACAAATTAGGTATCTGCTAACTAAATAAGAGTACGGTCTAGGTAAACAGTGATTGAAAATGGTTGTTTATCAAGTATTTTGTAGTAAATGTTTACCGCTAAAATTGTTGACCCTATTTCCATGAAATAGTTTACTTTTTGTTTGTGTTATTACTTCAATAATTCTATATTTCTAGCATATTTATAAGATGTATACTTGTCCTAACAAGTTTTTACATATTATATGGACTGACCAAATCTGTTAAAGTAAAAGCAGATAAATGATCTAGATCGGTTATCAATGAAAATAGAGAGACGAGAAATGTTAATGGATGAAATTAACCCTCACTAACGGCATTCTGTAGTATTCGTTATAAAAATAAAACCATGGAGACCAGTGACGGATCCAGAAAATTAATAGGGTGGGGGCACGTTGGATGGGACATGGGGAGGGAAGCATATGGGACTAGGAGGAAACTATGTAAGACGATAGTGAAAATAACAAATTTAAGCTGGTCAACAAATGTTTTTCGTCTTTGACTAAGGGCCTTTTCCCCGGTCTTTAAGGGCTGGATCCGCCCCTAATGGAGACATTCTTCATTAAGAATTCGTTTTAAGGACTTTACTCGTTAATTTATGTAAACTACATGGACCAAGTTTGCATTTAACTGTTATTTCTTACATCAATAGATTAATTTACGTAAAAACCGTCATGTTTCGAAAATTGTCGTTAAAATCCATAACGCCCAGACGAGACATGATACAATGATCTAAAGACACATTTCAACATCAAACAATTTAGTAACAAACTTCACTTTAGAATAAATAATCTTTGATTTCAGTGGCCAAAATTCAATAAAAACGCAAAAAGGAACGAGTCCTTGAAAACAATCAATCGATTTGCTCCCATCGATCCTGATCTAACTGCTCCATCGTACCTGAAAGAAAGCAAGAAAACGACTAATAAGAAATGCCCATGACGACATACGACTAAAAAGTATGGCTCGCAACTAGATTGATGGTCATTGTAAGGAGCAAAATAGAAATCACAAACATGCTGCTCAAACACAAGAGCAAATGGGACTTGAATGTTAAGTTCATTTTAGAACCGTAAATATTTTGATAACCTAGGAACCAAATATTCGTGATGAATGTACATCAATATTCATGATGAATGTACATGAATATTTATAATGAATATCACAAGAGCATCTACAATAGATTCTCCAAAATAGAGAAAACGAAAGCCTTAAGAGTCTTAACTTTTTTTTACTCCACCAAATACTCCAAAATGGAAAAGGTAGAAGAGAAAGGATTAAGATCTCCAAATTCCGAAAACTCCGAAATATTGAATGATGAAAAGAGAGAAAAGATTATACTTCCAACCAAAGAGGTTGAATTTTTACAATTTCATATTAAATACTCCAAATGTTGCTAATTGTTGCAATTGAATCTAATTTTCTTTTGGAGAGTTTAACTTTTGCTTCTTTATTTTGGAGAAATTAATGAAAAATCTGTTGGAGATGCTCCAATATTCATAAATATCATAAATCATGATTACTTGGTTCTCACAGTTCTGATGAAAAGTGTCCACAAACCCCGTATTTTCTAGTAAACGTTGTATTTTTTTGTGAACTAAGAAAATGCAAATTAAGGCCTCCCAGGTTCTATTCCCATTGGCTGCAAAAACCCTTGTGGCCACACCAGTCTCACTGCGAGGGCTTTGCCAGTTCTAGGACTGTGTGGCAGTGGACCTTGACCACACGGATTAGTGGGGACTACTTGGTTGCTGATACCACTTTCAAAAAGATGCCTACAACTTTCATGCCTATCTGCTCAATTGAAAAAACCGAAACCAAACTAGCCCCGTATATCTCCCTCAAATGTGGTGTGTCGGGGGATGTACGCAGACCTGACCTCTACCCCCAAAGAGTACGGCAACTGCTTCCGTGAAAGAATAGCAATTACCTGTAGGAAGGAAAATCTTTCGGAATGTTTACTGACGCAACATCTGCTGCAGCTGAAGCACTTGGTTTCTTTGTTCTGGTGGTAGAAGATTAATCTGTTCTGGTGTGAGACTCATCACCTGTTGAAGTAATGCCTTTTCCATATCAGCAGTTAACTGCACAAATACAAAATCTCAAGTTGTGTCATAGTAAATTTATATAAAAGTCGCCTCTCAAAAAAATTGACATAATTTACTCGAACTTGCAGAAGATGATAAAACATAAACAGGTTCATCTGCGACAAAGTACTAGGCTGTATGCCCCTAAGGTGTAGCACAATTAGTTCTGAGATGAGATTGTATACTTGCACAAACTGGTGAGCGTTTGAGTCTGGCAACCACAGTGTGGGAGTCACAATTACTTTTAGCATTTGGCATTTTATGGGCACCAGGCTCTTAAGCTAGCCATCTAGTGGGCCAGTATGTACCTGATTTGCTTCTCACATGATGCTCTTGGGGTGGGGCGGTGTGGGTCGCTGAGGGGTTGCCAGTAAAATCAGCGGGGAACCATAGTTCACTTGATTTTCCAAGAAAAATTTAAACTGAATTGTGGTCCCACCAAACCAAACAGACCCCGACCTCGGCTCTAACCCAAGGGGTAGAGAGAGAGAGAGAGAGATCCACGACCCCCCCCCCCCGGGGAGAGGCATAGGAAACAAACAAGCAAGATATAGGTGAAGAAACAATTAACTACTAGGGGTCAGGTAGGCACTTCTACTGACCTCTTTCTGAGACATTGTAACTTTGGGCTCAACTTCAGTAATTAAGGAAGAATCCACAAATCCATGGGATTGGTTATTCGTCAGCACACATTTAGTTTACTAGGGGAAGGTTCATTTGGGAACCGTAAATAAATTGAGAAGTGTGGGAACCAACTATTCATGAATATCATGAATAATGAAAATGCATGATATTCATGATGAATAGGTTTACCAAACGCTTACATGGTAAGTGCTTGCCAGGTGTCAATTACCTTACCGGATTTACATGGCAAGGACCTAGAATCTTAGCCTGTAAGAGTGATGGAAAGCATAGAGAGTCTAACCCTGTAAGTGGGTGACGACTCTTACTCGGTTAACACTTACCAGGTAAATTATTGCATACTTTTGCTGTTATGATTGACTAGAATCTTGCCTGGTAAGTTAAATAATAGTGACTCTCACCGGCAAGCGCTTATCGGGTAAGCGTTTGGGTAAATGGCCGGTATATAGGTATATTTATCATGAATAGCTGGTTCTTACAGTTCTCAAATATTTATGATTCCTAAATGAACTTTTCCGTAGTGTACTAATGCTACAATAAATTGAATTTATCTTTTGTAGAGGTAATAGGAAATAGATTTTACCGATGCAGGTCGAGGAGGCTGACTGCCTGAGCCCATATGGCTAGGAAGAAAGGGCGGGGATGGTCCAGGGAGCTGTGCTCCTGCTGCTGCATTTTCAGACAAACCAGAAGGCATCCAATTGGATCCTCTTTCGGGTAGTGAAGGGATTCCCATTTGATTGAAATCCATTCCTACATGTGAACCTCCTCCCTGTTAAACAAATACATCAAGCCAGCACCAGATTTCTCAAGTTTAGAAATAAACGAAATGAAAAGAGCAAATTTATGTTGTAGGAAAAAAAGAAAGTTGGATTCACGAGTTGCAGTGGTGTTCCATGCTTTATGACAAATAGGAGAACACATAAACGTACATACAATTTCCACATCACTCTATACATAGAAATGACTTTCTCACACGTGCAACAGAAGTGAAGGTTAACCTAAACAATCAATATGAACCAACATCACCTTGTCACGCCTAAAATCTAGGTCGGTAGCAAAGGGCTACTTGCAAAGATAGAAAGACTATAATGAGACCTTTAGCTTCATAGCTAGATGACTTTGGTTCAGTCACTTATCATTTGCCACGGCCCACTATCAAGAACGCATTTCTCATTGCAATTCTTGAAGCAAAGGTTTATATAGGGCAGCCCCTAGGTTTTGCGGCCATTGAGGTATCTTGAGTTTGCTGATCACATAGGCCATCGTGTGGCATAAAGTAGGAACCATGAATTTGGTTCCCTATTTGCCTCATGCTTTGGAGCAGATGGGATAGATTTCTTATGACTATTCAGTATTCTTTGAATAAGAATAAAAGAAAGAGGATCATCTTTGTACTTTAGGCTGCATTTGTTAAATGGGACTTGATAGGACAGGGTAAAACTCACTGTTCCACATTTGACACAATATGAGACCAGACAAAAACTCACTGTTTCACATTTGGCACAACATAGGGATAGGGACGGGTGGGAGTGGATGGGACGCAAAAGGCTTTCCATCAAAATAGGTGGAACAAGATGGGACAAGGATGAGATAAAACTAAAAGATTATCAATCTATCCTCATTTGATATAACCCTAAAATGGTATTTGCTTTACTAGTCACCACCCACCGGCGGCCACCGACCCGCTCCGTAATCACCACCTCCACTACCATCGGCTACCACCATCACCGCCTCCATATCCACCATTGTCCACCATCCCCACGTCATCCACAACCACTATCTCCACCGCGCATTGTTGTAACCACCTCCACCACCATTGGCTACCTACCACCAAGGTTTTGAAGAACGGAAACGAGCCTCGATTTCTTGACAGGACCCGTAAAAAAGGGCTACCAATTTCTTGACAGGACGGAGAGCCGTTGATTTCCATCGATAAGGCTGGAGTTTCAAGTTAGAGGTGCTCAAAAACCCGGCCAACCCAATGCGAAATGCCACAACCCGATGTTTATTTGAGTTGTAAAATCTTCAACCCATATGTATCAGGTTGGAATTGGGTTACGGTCATTTGAACCCAACCCGATGAACCTGATATCATTTTATTTCTTGGATTTAATATGATTGTTAAGTCCCTATTAAAATGTACATTAGACAATTACACCATCACGTACCCTCTTCATATACATATATTTTCAATCTCTTCTCCATCTCTATGTAACGCCTTCGTATATATGTTCAGTAAATGTGAACATATTTATGCAAATTGAAAGAAGTTGTTGAATTTGATATAGTTAAGATAAGGAGTATGTATAAGTGTACCAAATGAGTGATGATGAAAAATGAATTATGAGTAGAGAAAACAACATATTCAAGGTTAGAAGAATATTTTGATGTACCAAAGTATAAACCAAACTAACCCGACCAACCCGTACGGTTTGGGTTGGGTTGCACTTTGGTTTGGGTTAGGTTGAGATTTTTCAAACTACAAACATTAGGTTGGGTTGTTCAAATGCCTTCAACCCGATCAACTCAACCCATAAGCACCCCTACTTCAAGTAAAACCCAATGCCTACTTTGAAAATGATATCCTTGCAAGAGTTGTTCATGACAGCCTTAATGTGTTGGTACTTGTAAAAGATAAGCTTATAACTCATCTAGTATCGCATCTTTTTCCACCGGTTGTTCTCTAAGAGAAGATAGACAAGTACTTATGTGTCAGAAACAAAGAAGGTGAGGTGGATCCCACTCGTGTAAGGCTTTGAAGGAGGAGTATTTGGTCGATGAGTGGTACGAAATATTGTACCAATACTCGGCCCTAATATATTAACAATCTCAATCTGACCATCGGGTTTCTGGATGGTGAGCCATGCTGTGTAATAAGGTAGTCACTCGGAACTAGAATAATTCCTACCAAAAATTACTCGTGCATATTTTGTCACAATCCAAAACAATGGTTGAAAAAAAACCATGAAAGGACGATTTCTAAATAAACACCACAGCCATTAAAGAAATGCTTTAATGCCACAATGAGATAATTAAATTGGGCGGTCTACCACAACTAGCACAATGTCAAATTCGTTGGAATGCGGTAAGCCCTCGAAGTCCACTGTCACTCCGTCCCATACTTGATAAGGCTGAGGTAAAGACTGCAACAAGCTTGATGGATGGGTAGTGGTAGTGGAGGCTTTTTGTTGCCGACAAACTGATCAAGATTGAACATACCTCTGAACCGATCGTTGCATCCCTACCCAAAACCACTATGAAGCTAAATGTTGGTACGTTTTAAACCCATGGTTGTGTCTAGCAATGACATAGTCATGGTATTCGTGGAAAAGTTTAGGGATGAAAGAGGATGTACGAGGAATTACTAATATGTTATTGTACATGAGGTGGCCATGCACCATAGAATACCCTACATGAGCCTTTCCTTTAATCTCAATGTCTTGTTTCTTTGTTTGGATATTGGAATCAACCTCAGTTTCATTCATCAACTCTGCCACCGGTACTAAACTCGAAAAGACCAAAGACTATAACTCAAATTCAGCTGTAAACCCACAAGATAGCGCATTCATGACTCAATTTGTTGTTCCTGATTTATAACGGATTCCAAAGTCAAACCCAAGCAACTTGCTCACCCATCTTCATTAATTCGCCTTTGCGTTGTTTCATCAAATACTTGAGGCTTCGTTAGTCTGTTGGATCACAAAAGGCGTTCGAACAGGTAATGTTGCCACTTTTGCACGGCAAAGACTGTGGCAATCAATTCCTTCTCATAGACGGATTTCAAACAGTTCTTTAAACACAATTTTGGAGCAACACGGCACCTACCTCATACACGAACGCATGAGCTATGACAACGAAAACTTGTGTGAAGTTGGGCATAGCTAATATTGGGGTCATGGTCATGGTTGTCTTGAGTCGCTGAAAAGCCTTGGTAGCCTCCTCCAGACCACCCAAAATTGTTTTTTTGCCGGTCGATGAGCAAGGTAGCCAAACGCACGTACCCAGTGATGAATTTTCGTTAATAACTGAGAGACCCAAGAATCCTCACATCTTATGTAGATTCTTTGGCAAAGGAGTCCACCATATCCCTGATTTTCAACACATCCACCGAACTCCAGCACCTCCACCAGTAGCCGATATAACATGACTTGAGATAAGCGATTCCGATTTTCCAAACATTTATCCAGATTCACATACAACTTGTATTGGGATAATTGTTTCAGCATTGTTGCCAAGTGTTCCATGTTGTGGCTATAAACCAATATGTTGTTAAAAGAATACAAGTACCAATTTACAGAGGTAAGGAAGAAACACCTCATAAATAAGGGACTGGAAGGTGGTTACTGGTTAGAGCATTAGTGAGCCCAACAGCATCACAAGCAACTAGTAATGGCCTTCATGGGTTCGACATGTTGTGTTGGCGATATCCTCACTTTTATTTGAACTTTGTGATACCCAAGTTTAGTATCAAGTTTATAGAAGATACATGGCCAATAGCCCATGTAAATTTATTGTCAAGAAATATCACAATCATCGGAATATGATACTTTTAAGGCATAGTAACTTTATTGAAGGCACGATACTCTACACAAATCCCACGATTCGTCTTTCTTTTTAACCAACAAGACCATGCTAGAAAATGGGCTACTGAATAATACTTGCACGAAGCATGTCTTGAATGAGTCATTCAATCTCCATTTTTTAGCATGTGGGTATCTGTAATGACGAACCATGACCGGATCAACCCCTTGTTTCAAGGTTATCACTTGCTCCTTGCTCCGTCGAAGGGAAGCCCATAGGACCAGTTAAATACCTCTTGATAAGCTCTAATCACATCTTCCATAAACCACGAGAACACATGTTGACCAAGAGAGAGTGTTTTCTCCATGTGATTTAACTGTAACAAATACCACCCTCATTCCTTTACAATGAAACGAAGCATGTTCTTCAATGTGATACGTGATCGACATGACAGGAACTTACCCTGAAACTTCATTATCTACGTCCTCCAATTCGTTGTCACAACCCCCATTTTCCCAACCATTGAATGCCAAGGATGACATCAGAGTTACCAAGAGTAAGGCGAAGAAAATCCCCTTCGCACTCTCATGCCCTTGTACTGCGTCACCAATCCCCAACTAAGACCCCCCCCCCAAAAAACCCGCTAGTGTTTTCTACTAGAATTCTCAATTTTTGGATGATGAGTAATGATAAAAGGTTGTGAGTTGACCCACATTAATCATAACGAAGACTTCAAGGCCCACTATGGTCCTTTTAATTTCAATTTCTTGAGTTGGTGATTCCAAACATTGACTTCAAACAAATTCCAGTGTGTATGTTCTCTTCTCTGGTTCGTTTTCTACTTTCTCTTTCTAGTCGGCAACAATGGTGACCAAGCACCACTTTTCATCATGTAGGAAGCAAAGTCCTCGGGCCCGCTTATCCTGTTATTCTCAATCTAAGAGCCTTTGAACATCAGTAGTTCACAAGTTATTAGCCTGATGAGAATCGTCATAGTAGGATTGAAACTCAATCAACCACCCTAAGAAAGTGACATGCACACGTAGTTGAGTAGTGGTTGCCCCTATAGTCCCCCTGAGTCCCAATCCATACGAAAACAACCGCCCCTCTAATTTTCTATTGTGCTTGCCAAAATCTTCCAATTCGATGTCTAGGTCGATGGCTTGGTCAATCGTAAGAGGCCCAAAGACGTGTACTTCAGCCTAGATTTATGCTATAAATTAGCCCAGTTATAAATTAGCCTAAAGT